GGGATGATACGGAGTGATCTTGATCCTGTTCTTCTTCTTCTTGATGCAGAAGATCCAAAATTAAAGAACAAAGCTATGGCTGATGGAGATGAGATGAGTTGCGTAGGAGACAAGTTCGAAGATAAACAGAAAATCGAGGAAGCTTTCTACGATGGTTTCACAGCACAAAGCCCTTTAACATCATCACACGTTTACTCTTGTTTTTCGTAGTGAAATCGTGTCTTCTTCTCTGATATGAATCGGCTGGAAGTCAAGGCTGAGCTGTCTGAATTTGAGGATATGATGGATCGTTTCCTGATCATTAGCCTCGGTTGTGGAATCGCGGCTTTGTCTTCACATCCTTACACCGTCCATGCCGCCAACTCTCCTTTACAATGGACGAGGTCCTCGGTTTGCTTGCTCTAGGAGTTCCATCCACTTGGTTCGGGATAGCAGCTATCATTGTCTTTGCGGTTTTAATATTTTGGAGGTGGCTAAGTGTTTACATGAGTTAAACAACATCTCACAATTTCAACCCATTAGAATACTCTATGTTTCTTTTTTTTAACGAAATTGTCAAAGGTTTACACAACAAAGCAGTTTCTCTTTGTTTGCTGATTTTTAAGTTTTTCCTGCAACCCAAAAGAAGACATCTGAGCAACCATTTCATCTCCATCTGTAGAAGCTACGGGAACTTCTTGAAGCGAATTCTGCATCCAGCGATCTTTAGCATGTGGTTTTTTTATGTAGGAAAAGCCGACCTTGAGGAAACTGAGTTGTCCATAACTCTTTAACGAGCCTCCCCAAAGCATGTTTACCATCAACCAAAAAGGGAACTTCTTTAGCCTCCCCAAAGTTCTCTTTTCCTGACCATTCCATTGCCTCCACCTCGAGCCACCTGCTCCAAATTCAAGATATCATCATGTCCAAAAACGTTCCATGTACTCGCTGCCATGCATCAGGAGACAAGGTACTTGTGAGAATTGGCTTTTGTGGACCTTTGGCACCATACTAGTACATTGTTCCTCTGCATTGTTGTGGCCTTCAGGATCGTCCAGACTCTCCTGGTGGGGCTTGCGAATCCTTTCTATCAAATTAAGACTGGCAAGAGAAGGCAACAGTCAAGTATAGAATGTAAGCTTTTTGGTTATCATTAAGGAACCTTTTAACACGCTTACCCTTTTACTATCATTCTATTTTTGGCTTCAGAGAGCTCCAACACGTTAACTCATTTCAGTCTCTCTCTCTTGCTCAATCTGCTTCATGTTTCATCCCTTGTCTTGTGAAAAAATGTGGGCAATCAGGTATTTTTGGATTTGTTGCTTTTCTTGTACAAGAGTTTCTCCAAGGAAGAATCATGCCAATTGTGAAGATGTTATTGGCATACCTGGAGAGTCAATAGAGACAATCTGCAATATGCGTTAGGCCATGTTTATAAGTACTGTACCCTCATGAAGGTTGCTAAAAATGCGTTTTCATTTTTTTTGCAGAGTTTCTTTGAGAATTAATATCCAAAGCACACTATATGTTGTCTCTTTTTCTACTCTTCTTGATTGATAACTTATTCATAAACCAAGTACACTCATGTGCTTTTCCTTTTTTTTTTTTTTGTTATGGATGCCATTTCAGATGCTCTGCGAGTGATCAGTCTATCGGGTCTAAACCCGAAGCAGTAGAACGACATGAGAAGAAAGAGCAGGTTTTGTAGTGATAGATAAGTTTCCTATAGAGTTAAGACTGTTATCCAAAAGGTATTTCTTGACAGAGTTTCTTCAAGAAAACAATCTAGAAAAGTTAAACCTCAGGAAGCCATCAAAGAATCAGGAGATCCTCCTTTGCACAACGACATTGTTGAAGAGTCTTTTAAGATATCAGCTTCAGTTTCAGCGGAGCTTAAAAGAGAATCAAAGAAGAAGCAGAAGAGCTAGTGAGTGGCCTTGCTCTACCATTACAAGCGACAATGTAACCAACCGTTGAATGGTTTTTGTACTTGATGATGACAAGTTATGCAAATTGAAGCTCTTGACTTGAGAGTAGTGTAGTGTCTTTTTATTTGGTTTGGTACAATACAATCCATCAATTTCCTACAATCCAAGTATTGATAAGTTGGGCCACTTGATCGAGTTTAATGGCCTACAACGTCTTCTTCCCAAAGTTTCCGACTTTTATCTTCACTGTCACTGATACCACTTCCTCTTCCTTGTTTTCCATTTTCCAAAACAAAAACGTGTCACTTAAAAAACTCTTTCAAAGATTGAGACAGTGAGAAGGAGACAGAGAATTGAATCACGGCACGGGACACAGTTTATTGCCTTTTTTTGTTTGTTCTGTTTTTAGTTTTACTTCCTCTGTTCTGCTTTTGTAATCACGGAGTAGTTTTTACCAGAAAAGGGTCCAATCATTGCATTGACTTTTCAGAAAATGAATGTCTAATTCC